GCACAAATTAAGTAAGCATGATTAAGCAACATGCTGTTGTTTCTTTTTCTTGAAAGAAAAAAGAGGCATAGTAACCTCAGGAGATGAGCCCATGACATTGAGATTGGCTAAAGTCACAACATGCCTTCTTTTACCCAAAGAAGTAGAAGCAAAGGTTGCATGACATTCTAGGAAATTCTGGCTACATCTTAAAACATATTGTTAATATTGTGGTAGTGAGCTGTGTTTTTCTCATTGAGTCTCTTCCATATAGCAATAGTTCTCAGTCCTTACAATCACGCAGGAAGCTCCTAAGAAACTCATGTTCCACCCCAGGCTAATCAGCATTTCCCCATGTAAATTCTAATGTGCTATCTGGAGTGGGAACCACTGACTTAGGGGTTGAATTCAATATCCATTCATTTCTAAGGATAACAGGATAATACAACTTAAAAGGCATCTGGTGGGTTTCTTTATCTAGCCTAGTGGCTTGCCTAAGGAATTCAAAATTTTATGTAGAAATGGTTCTTATTAAGTGGATCTCCTGAAATATTAATGATATCCTCAGGAAGGTTGCTGCTAGTAACATACAGTTCATAACTTTTTTTTTTTTTTTTTTTTTTTGCATCTTGTTTGGTGAATTCAGATTCACACCTTTGACCATTCACCCATACGGAAGAAAACAACTGGCTAAAGAAAACTAAAGTGAGGAGTTCTGTTAACAGCTCATGTACATCCTGACAGTTTCTTTAAGCTGCTCTGGAGGCTGCTGTGTTCTGTCATGGGAGGTTTTCAGCCAAAGTAGTTAATTAAGGCTCATTAGAATAGTCAAAATTCATTGTCTGTTTTGCTTCCATCTAACTCTCTTGCATTTGCATTAGTCTTATAGTCATAGCGTTGGTTGCTGGTCTCAGTTTTGTTTGAGTCTGGCCTGCTTCCTACATAGTTCTGTCAATTTCACCAATGCCAATTTCACCTCTGCCATCCTCTCTAGGCATTCTCACCTGGCACCTTGACTTCCTTGGCGCCCTCACTCATTTTGTACTCTTGTTTCCCAAACTTGCCAACTCTCTTCTGCCATTCTTGCTCCTGATTCTTACTTGCCAAAATCTTCTTTATCTATCTTGAGACTCGTCTGTTCTATGCCCTCCACTCTCAAGCCCATGTTCTTCATCTATTTCCTCTTTTGACCCTTCTTGCTTCTGTTAGCCTCCATTCACTCTGTAGCACAGTGATGAATTCCTACCAAATTATGTGAAAAAAGAGTTTCCTTTCATAAAAGTGATTTGAGTCAAGCTTCTGTTTATGCTATTGCCATGAAGGCTTTTGATATCTACGCCTGCCTACATCTTGGCAAAAGAGCCCATTGGCAGACAAATAGAAAATTCTCTAATGAGGGGCAGCAGGGAGCAGTCAGCCTGCAAAATACAACCTGCAATTACAAATAATAATGACATATGAGAGTGTTTAATTTTTCATGTCTTATAAAATACAACAAGGAAAATCAATCTGAAGTTGAAGTCTCAGGTCTGAAAGGAGTTATGTCAAGCTTAATAAGCATCAGTCTTTGGATAAGTGAGGTTTTTAATAAAAAAGCCAGATCTGAGAACACTTCTTCAGACTGTTATTTTCTGCCCTTATGAGCAACATGTCTGTCCACTGTAGGACTATATCAAAAGTTCAGTGTTGTGGATAAAGTTGAGGAGCCCTGTAGTTCAAAGCTGTGTCAGACATTTTATTGGGAATTTCATGTGCAGTCTGGCTCTCTAAGAGAGCCTTTTTAGCTCCAATATCATTTATCTGAACTCCATTATATATATATGCATCTATCTATATACATATGTATATATTTCCAATTAGGTATAATTGGAGTTATGGTTCTTAGGTGGCTTACAGAAACAAGGGTATTTGACCACTTAAACTTCTAAGTAGTGAGAGTCCACATGATAAAAACAATATACACCATTATAAAGTAAACACATTATTTATAGTGATCAAACAAAATCTTTGACTCTACAGACAACTAATAGAATTGAAACTACAAATTAGGGAAGTTCAAGAGTAATTTTACCAAGGAAAGCTATAACTTAATATAAATCTTAAGTATTAGTGTTCAAAAGTTTAAAAACCTTAAATTTTTACAGAAGTTTTAAAAATTAAGCAGCTCTGATATTTTTATAGTGTCTACAAAACAAGACAGAAACCTGTTCCTTTGTGGGTACTTGGCAGAATGTGAAAATGGTGTTTTGTTTTGTTTCTTCTGTAGGGTTAAAAAGATAGCAAGACAGTCCCAAATTCTCACATGGATTCTCCTCCAGATAATGGACAGAAATACAGTCCTCTTTATCTAATTTTCAATCACTCCAGAAGGGGAGCCTGATTTTTGATTTGTTTTGATATTAAAGGAGGTCAGTTTAGGGTAAAAAAAATAGAAATCCTATGACTTTTAAAAAATCCTATTTTAGATTATAATATCAAACTTTGAATAGAAAATGATGGCTCACATTTTATTCAGAACTCTCTGACTCCTGGATTCTTAATAAAAATTCCATATGTTTCAGCAACAGTTTTCAATGCCTATAATTTATGCTATTAAGTTGCTCCTATAACTTATGTAATGAAACATAGGGAAACATCTTTTCTAAAAGCTCCCAGAAAAATGGTAGGCAAACCATTCAAAGGTCCCATTAAGTTTGGGGTTATATTTAAAGTATTCAGGGGGTTTCCATATTTATCTAGACCACTGGATCTCAAAGTGTAGCCCCTTCTAACAATAGCATTGTCATCACCTGGGAAGTGGTTAGAAATGTGGATTCTTAGCCCCTGCCCTAGACCTACTCAATCAGAAACTCTTCAGGTGGACCTCCACAGTCTGTTTTAACAAGCCTACTAAGTGATTCCATTGCATGCTAAAGTTTAAGAAATGGGGTTGGGTGCAGTGGCTCACACCTGTAACCCCAGCACTATGGGAGGCTGAGGCAGGTGGATCACAAGGTCAGGAGATTGAGACCATCCTGGCCAACATGGTGAAACCCTGTCTCTACTAAAAATACAAAAATTAGCTGGGCATGGTGGTGCGTGCCTGCAATCCCAGCTACTCAGGAGACTGAGGCAGGAGAATCACTTGAGCCAGGGAGTTGGAGGTTGCAGTGAGCCGAGATTGTGCCACTGCACTCCAGCCTGGTGACAGGGTGAGACTCCTTCTCAAGGAAAAAAAAGAAAAAGGAGAAAAGAAATGGGTGGGTGTGTCTGTCCATTTATTCAACAAATATTTATTGAAACCAACTATGTAGCAGATATTCTTCCGAATTGGTATGAAGAAATACGAGACAAAGAAAGCGATAGAAAAAGCAGAGATCAAGATTGTATCTCTAGATCACCTTTGGAGATTCGTCAAAATAAAACTGCTTGAACCCCACCTCATATACATGGAACCACCACATTCCTTGTATTAGCCATGCTTCCATCCAAGGAGTAGGGATGGGCAGAATGGTGCAAACTTTCCTAGCATCTGATGAAAGGACAAAATATTGATGGAAGATTCCTTCTCTGTGGGCTGAGGCTGAATACAGAAGTATTCCACTGGAGGCAATATTTGGTGGCAAGCTTGTCTACTACAGTTGCATTAAGGAACAGGAACCAGAGACAGCGGGGTTTTTAAGTAATGGGTATAAGTTTCCAGGCATCACTCTGCTCAGAATATATTTTATTCTGTAAATGTTTACAAAACTCTTCCCAGCACTTAGGGACAAAGCACAGACTCTGGCAGAGTGTATATAGAATTTTATGAGGACTGTATTTTCCAGCCAAATTGGACCATTATTTTTTCCTTATCATTTCCTACCTACTCCGATTTCCTAGACTTTGATAGACATTTTTCTGCCACCTGGAATGCCTTCACCTCATTTCTATGTGTCAGAATCCCAAAAATTCACTAAGGCATAGTCCAAAACATCCAGTGGTGGCCCAATCGCTCTTCTCCCCCAACTTAATACAATGTCTCCTTCTTTCGGTGTTCTCATATTTGGTGTGTATCTTTGTGTTGTGCGCACCATGTACACACTGACTCGTGTGTAGAAATAGAAGCGGTTTCCTATAAATGGGCCTAACTTACTCCTCAGCCACCAATTAGCTCTAGAAAACATGTGATATTGCCTCTTCAAGTTTACTCAATCATTAGTGAAATCAGGACTTAAATTTAGTCAATCAAGGTTCATGTTCCCCACTAGGATCGGTGTCTCCTCATAGGTGTTCTCCCTTCTTGCTTCTTCCAGCACATGGAAATGAAGCACGGGCTTCTCGTGGCAGGGGCAGGCAGGTGGGCCTGGCTGGCTTTGTATGAAGTCTCTTTGTGTCTGTTTTGAAGGCTTCTCTGGCTGGCGTAGCTTGTCCTCTGTTCTCTTGGCACAACCCCGGTCCCTTTCTGTTCTCTCCTCCCTCAACTCTGCTCTCACCAGTACTGCTGACCCTATGAGGTTCACTGATGGACCCATCTGTCTTCTGGCTTTGAGCTGTTTACCTTGCAGCCTCTGTGAGTGGTCCCCTTTCCCTATGATGCAGCATTCTTCAAGCAGGCATGAGGACTCATCACATTCTGTTTTTTGTTTGTTCGTTTGTTTCTCAGATGTCTTTCTTGCCCCTCTGCAATGACTCCAGAGATTTTCTGGATTGGTTTCACTTTGTGCTGGAGTAAAGAGTAAGGATCTCTCTCAGACCCTCTCAGCCTAAACGCAGTTCTACTTGACTGTGGCACAGGGTGGCTCAGTTAATTTGCGAAGAGGTCCCCTCCAAGAGGTCCTGAAGGGAACTGATACTCAAGCCTCCTACACTCTGGATTCCCAGTCAACCTATGCTCTACATCCCCCAACCCCACAAGTCTCTCAACCCCAAGGTGACCCCAGACAAGCATCTCAATTTTCTGGGCTCCTCCCACAGCCACAGGTTGGGCTTCCTCAAATTCCTGTCCCATTCCCTAATCTGCACTTCCATACTCTGTGTTTATAGTTAGAACTCTACAATCCAGTCTTCTAGGCTTGGCCAATTGGAATTTCAAAGCCTATCTTTGAGATTCCTGAGAAACTGGCTTTCTCTTTCAAGCATCCAGCTCTTTCTATTGAAAGCCAGAGGGTTTTCTGTCTATTGTGAACCCTCTAAATGTACAAAAATCATAATGTGCCTGTGTCTTGTTTATTCTAGGCAGATCTACCTTCTCCCTGAAAATGATGAGCATCTCAGCCTCGGTGTGTGGAAAGTCACAAGAAGGCAACTTTGGAAATAAAAAAAGAATAGAGACGTTGAAAAACAAATGAAAAATATGATTCTTGCTACATCTCTTCTGGTTGATCCCGTTCTGCCTTTTGTCATGCTTGAATGTCTTCTGATATTTGAGTATTTTTTCCACTTTTTGCTACCTCTCACTGAAGTTGTCAGCTTTAGTTAAGGGTAGGCCCAAATTCTTTTTATCTCTATAACTCTTCAGCACCTAACATGGTATAATTTCTCAAAAGTATTTGCTGCATTGCATTAGGTTGATTCTTAATATTTTGTTTAGACTTTCTCCTATAAAATAGCTATTTGTTTATTATTGAAAACATTCTCCTTTGCCTCTCTTTTCTTTTTCAGTTGTTTATTTAAATCCTGAGAAAATAAAATTCTCTCAGGAATTTACCTTTGATTCTCTGAAGCTTAAACTGGCGTTATTTATAATAATTATACCTAAAACCACCACCTGGATACCACTACTAAACAAAAAAGGGCATGGGTACTCTCATTAGCCTTGCTTAATTAAAAGAGTGCTCAAACATGATTTTCACAGATACTAATTTCATCTGTGCACAAACTCTCCCTCTCCTTTTGACCTGAATATGCATTTTAGGTATATAGACCCAGAGGAGCTCCTGGAACACACTGGTGTCTGTAGGATGAGTTAGGCAGTTATGATGAGTAGGAATAGCTAGCTTGCTCATTTGGGGTTTCACATTGTCTCAGTTTCTAGTGGAGCCACCAAGAACCTTGAGTCTTGTCTGGTCCATGCAATTTGCAAGATTAAAAGAATATTAGCACCTTTTTCTTGGAGTAGGACTCTGAAAACAGGATTATATTGTTCAAACAAAAAATGTGTGGGTACCTAAGGAAATATCTGCCTACCTGTAGTGTTTGTATGGCTAGATATTCTTACCCCTATGGTATTTGTTGTCATATTGTGTCCAGAATTGGAGGGTTCTTGGTCTCGTTGACTTCAATAATGAAGCTGTGGATCGTTGCAGTGAGTGTTACAGTTATCAAAGATGGTGTGTCCACAGTTTCTTCCTTCTGGTGGATTCGTTGTTTCGCTGACTTCAGGAGTGAAGCTGCAGACCCTCGCAGCGAGTGTTACAGCTCATAAAGGCAGTGTGGACCCAAACAATGAGCAGCAGCAAGATTTATTGTAAAGAGGGAAAGAACAAAGCTCCCACCCTGTGAAAGGGGACCTAAGCGGATTTCCGCTGCAGCTTGGGCAGCGTGCTTTTACTCCCTTATCTGACCCCACCCACATCCTGCTGATTGGTCCATTTTACAGAGAGCTGATTGGTCCTTTTTGACAGGGTGCTGATTGGTGCATTTAAAAACTTTGAGCTAGACATAATACAATCCTTTAGTTAGACATAAAAATTCTCCAAGTCCCCACTAGATTAGCTAGACATGGGGCACTGATTGGTGCGTTTACAAACCTTGAGCTAGACACAGGGTGCTGATCGATGCATTTACAATCCTTTAGCTAGACATAGCAGTTCTCCAAGTCCCCACACGACTCAGGAGCCCAGGGGGCCTCTCCTAGTGGATCCCTCTCTGGGGCTGTGGGCAGAGGTGACCGCCAGTCCTGTACCATGCACCCACATTCGTTAGCCCTTGGGCCGTCCATGTGACCAGATGCTGCGGAGCAGGGGGCGGCACAGTTGAGGAGGCTCAGGCTGCCCGGGAGACCATGGGGGTGGGGGAGGCATGGGGAGAGATTCGGGCATGGTCGGCTGCAGGTCCCGAGCCCTGCCCTGCAGGTAGGCGTCAGAGGCCCAGCGAGAATTCCAGCGCATCACGGGCTGACAGTGCTGGGGGACCTGGCACACCCTCTGCAGCTGCTGGCCAGGGTGCTATGCCCCTCACTGCCAGGGGTCAGCAGCGCAGGCTGGCCACTCTGAGTGCGGGCTGTGCAACCCGCGCCCACCCAGAACTTGCGCTGGCCAGCAAGGGCAGCGCAGCCTGGTTCCAGCCCAGGCCTCTCCCTCCACACTTTCCCGCAAGCAGAGGGAGCCGGCTCCAGCCTCGGCCAGCCCAGAGAGGGGCTTCCACAGTGCAGCGGTGGGCTAAAGGGCTCCTCAAGCATGGCCAGAGTGGACACAGAGGCCGAGGAGGTGCCGAGAGCGAGCAAGAGCTGCTGGCACATTGTCACCTCTCACCGGCACTCTACCTGCAAGGTTGACTTGGGAAATTGTGAATCTGACATCCTCAGCATCTCAGCCTATGTAGTGAGAAATAACTCTCCTTCCAAACATGACTTTCAAAGTGGGAAATTTCTTAGACAAAGTATGAAGTGACAATGTGCTAGTAGCCCTCACTCTCAGTGCCTCCTCGGCTTCCGTGTCCACTCTGATGGCGCTTGAGGAGCTATGCACTGTGGGAGCCCCTTTCTGGGCTGGCCGAGGCTGGAGCCAACTCCCTCTGTTTGTGGGAGGTGAGGAGGGAGAGGCGCCAGCAGGAACCGGGGCTGTGTGCAGCACTCACAGGCCATTGCGAGTTCTGGCGGGCATGGGTGCAGGCTTGGCGGGCCCCGCACTTGGAGTGGCCAGCTGGTGCCTCCGGCCCAGGGCAGTGAGGGGCTTAGCAGCCAGGCCAGCAGCTGTAGAGGTTGCGCTAGGTCTCCCAGCACTGCCAGCCTGCATGCACTGGGCTCAAATTCTCGCCAGGCCTCAGCTGCCTCCCCAGGGGGTAGGGCTCTCGGGACCTGCAGCCCACCATGCCCGAGCCCCCACCTCTGCAGAGGGCTCCCATGCCACCCGATGGGTGCTGCCCGCTGCTCTGTGGCACCCGGTCCCATCAACCACTCAAGGGCTGAGGAGCGCAGGACTGGCAGGCAGCTCCATCTGCAGCCCCAGTACAGGATCCACTAGGTGAAGCCAGCTGGGCTTCTGGGTCTAGTGGGGACTTGGAAAACCTTTAAGTCTAGCCAAGGGATTGTAAATACACCAACCAGCACCCTGTGTCTAGCTCAAGGTTTGTAAATACACCAATCAGTACTCTGTATCTAGCTCAAGGTTTGTAAATACACCAATCAGTACTCTGTATCTAGCTAACCTAGTGGGGACTTGGAGAACTTTTCTGTCTAACACTCTGTGTCTAACTCGGGATTGTAAATGCAGCAATTAGCACTCTGTCAAAACGGACCAATCAACTCTCTGTAAAATGGACCAATCAGCTCTCTGTAAAATGGACCAATCAGCAAGATGTGGGTGGGACCAGATAAGGGGGAAGAAACAGGCTGCCCCACCTAGCGGCAACCCGCTGGGAACCTCTTCCACACTGTGGAAGCTTAGTTCTTTAGCTCTTTGCAATAAATATTGCTGCTGCTCACTGTTTGGGTCCATGCTGCCTTTAAGAGCTGTAACACTCACCGCGAAGATCTGCGGCTTCACTCCTGTCAGCAAGACCATGAACCCACCAGAAGGAAGAACCTCCAGACACATCTGAACATCTGAAGGAACAGACTCTGGACACACCATTTTTAAGAACCGTAACACTCACTGCGAGGGTTCACTGCTCGCAATTCTGGACACAAAAGGAAGAGTGGGAGGTGGTTTGGATGAATGGCAGCCAAATGAGAAAAGATATGAACTCCAGTCCAATTAGAAAGATGGTGGTGGTATTATCCACATGCTAGCCATGTGTGTCAAACAGAAGCTTCTTCTTACCCAGGAGAAGATTGTGTGCTTTTGTTCTTAGAATATAACATAGAAAATATTGTGAAGAAATAAACTCATATGTAAAGTTTGGTATCTGTTTTACTAAATCCTAAGTATTTTCTTTCCTCATAATTTTCCTGCCTGCCCTTAGCGTTCTAGAAAGAAAACTTGGGGTTGAAATCCCCATCTTACAGGCAGACATTAGCTTTCGATGGCATAATCACCTTCAACACTTTGGGATTCGCTTTCTATCTCAGTTTCTCCCTCTGTTATTTAGTGGAGATACTGTATGAAGCCCAAAATGTTAAAGGACTGCCAGGGAGAAAAAGAAAAGTGTTTCATTTTGGCTTCCTGCCTTTGCTTTCCTAACTTTGTATGTATTAGGCATCTAAAGAAAGAAAGAAATCATTTAGGTTAGAATTCATGCTGATAATATGAAGAAATATACATATGACAGGCTTTTTCCAACTAGAAGAGAGTAATTTTCTATTCTCACCTAAGAAAATAAACAAGAATCTTTCCTCTACTAATAAGAAGCTCTATCAGTTATAAGATGGGAGGTAAAAGTAACGATGTCTCTGCCCAATTCTCCTCTCAGAAGTTACCACAAAATAACAAGAACAGTAACAACCACAGCACAATTACAGGTGCTCAACTTTATCTTTAATGAAACCAGGAAACACCTAAAACTTCAAACTATAATATATGAAGATTGCACATGGTTGGGTGAATTTCAACCATTGGGCAGATCAAAGGTCAAATTTACAAGTGTGTATGTGGAGGGGAGGAGGGAGGTTACCACTGAGAAGCTTGGTAGTTTACCCTGCCAAATTCCAGGAATTCTCAGAAATGGAAGCCCAAAGCCTGGAGGAGAGGAGGCTGAGAACAAGAAGACTATTTGTTTAAGGAGCAATTGGATGCCAATGCCCACCCCCATTCCGAGAAATTAGATGACTACTCTTCTTGTGCCCTAAGAGACCTGAGAGATCCATTTCTTAGAGGAATTGCAGAAACAGTTTTTGGAGTTGTGGATACCAAGCACAGAGGAGAGAAGTGCTTCGGTGCTGGATAGAAAACCAGGGAAATACAAGAAACACGTTGTATCTAATGAGGAGGTCTTCCATCATCTAAGCTGAACATACTAGTAGCCAGCCTTCTATCCCGAGGACAAGATTGGAGGATTCTTCTCTTAGGAAACTCAGGAACTGACCAGACCTACAAATAAAAACCTAAAAACCTAAAAAATTAAAACCTGGATGCCTGCCCAATGCTGTACAGTGAGATTCACTAGTTGTCAAGCCCTACTGCTGTGGTTTGAATGTGTCCCCACCAAAATCCGGGTGTTACCAATGTGATGGTATTAAGAGGTGAGCCTTTAGGAGATGATTAGACTGCAAGGGCTCCTCCCTCATGAATGGGATTAGTGCTCTGATAAAGGGCCTTGACAGAGGGAGCTGGTTCCCTGCTGCCCTTCTGCCTTTTATCATGTAAGGATGCAGTAAGAAGTCCCACACCTGATGCCACTGCCTTGATCTTGGACTTCCCTGCCATCTAAATTGTGAGAGAATACATTTCTGTTCGCTCTAAGTTAGTCAGTGGCATTTTGTTCTAACAGCACAAAATGAACTAAGATGCCACCAATAGAGTGGGGCCTCCAGTCAGCATTTTAATGTCTTGTTTTTAAATAGGAGAAATTGACCAGATATTTAAGGAAAACCTTCAACATGAAAAGTACAGGTACAAACCAACCCCTGCCCCAAAAGATAATAATAAAAAGACACTAAGAGTTAACAGAGGCAAATCAAGGAATGGAAAAAATGCTATAAAGTATTGCTATTTAATATGTTTAGTGACATAAAATAAGAATGCAAATTAATGAAACCAGTCTAGTCAGAGCAAAAAGCACTTATAAATTAAAAATTATAGTTGAAATTAAGAATGCTCCTCATTCAGGAAGATGAAGTCAAGGAAAACACCCAGTAAGAAGTAATATTAAAGAAATGGATAATAAGGGAGAAAAGCTAAGATAATTAGACGCTTAATCTAGGAGGTTCAGTATCCTAAGAAAATAGGAGTTTCATAAAGAAAAAGCAGAGAAAACGACAAGACATTTTCAAAGCTTTAACAAAAGATAGTTTCCTTGAAAATCTGGAGTAGAGTCCAGTCTGCTTCTGTGGGGTAGGTAACAACCCCTTACACAAGCTATACTGGTACAGTTTTGTCACTGTTGTTATTTTGTTTTGTTTTCTTTACATTGAATGTACATATGTGAATGGGAATTGTGATCCTCCATATTCAGATGCTGTGAATCTCAGGTACATTTTTATCTTTAACTTAGGCTACAGTGGTGGCTGCAGAAAGTGACCTCAAGTGTAATGGTAGCAATTACACCACCAAAGACAGAGGTGAGTGGACTTGGAATCCGTGGGAGGAGATGGTAATAAATACTAGCTCACAGTAGGACGCACAGGCACCAAGCTGTGTTGCATTTTAATATAAAAATAATGAAAGTATTTTAAAAACCAAAGTATTTTATTTCTTGCTATGAAGGCTCCTAAAATTTTGAGTAATAATAAAAATCACATATGGGAAAAAGCTATGTTCTATCTTATCTATAAAGAAAATTTATTTGTGACTTATAGGTTCATTAGTAAGAGGTAGATGTCATTCTTTATTTTTTAAACAAAAATTACCTTTCCAAGTGTAAAAAACAGGGGTTGTCAAGTAATATGGATGATAAAATCTTATGAAAAAACAGTTTCCTTTAAATTTATGATCGTAAAAATGTGGAAAGATACAAAAATACCTTCCCAGCAGAGTGGAATTGGTGAGGAGTATGTCAGAGAAATTACTAACTTTTTCTTAATGTGTTTATTTCATGCTCTGTTAAAATGAACATCTTTTCCTTTTTTTTTTTTTTTTTCCTGAGATAGGGTCTCACTCTGGTCGCTCAGGCTGGACTGCAGTGGTGTGATCTTGGCTCACTGAAGCCTCGACCTCCCGGGTTCAGGTGATTCTCCCATCTCAGCCTCCCCAGTAGCTGGGACTACAGGCATGCACCACCAGGGTCAGCTAATTTTCTTTTTTGTTTCTTTCTTTCTTTTATTTTTTTAAAAATTTTTAGTAGAGAGATGGGATTTCACCATGTTGCCTAGGCTGGTCTTGAACTGCTGGCCTCAAGCAATGCACCTGCCTTGGCGTCCCAAAGTGCTGGGATTACAGGAGTGAACCAATGTGCCTGGTCATCTTACTTATATAAATAAAAAAGATAATACATTTAAAGTGATATTCATTTTTACCAACATTTTATATTTTCAAACACACCACAAAGTTGAAAGAATTTTGCGGTAAATTTTTGTATACCTACCATTAATCCATCTTCTGTTTTGATGTATTTCAAAGTAAGTTGTAAACATTAGTATACTTCCCTTCTAATCACTTAAATGTGTATATTATTAATTATAATTCTATATTGTTTACATTTTTTGAAATGACTTTCACTATAAAATATGTATTTATCATAGAAAATTGGCAATTACAGTTAAAAAATCTGTAGATCTATAAGTTAGTTTTTGTTTGTACCAAATATTATGCTATGTACTTTATTAACACCATTTCTTTTAATCCTTTAACAAGCCCTAAGAAGTCACATTATCCCCATTTTACAAATAAAGAGTCTGTGAGAAAATTGCCCCAGTTCCCAGAGTGGTAAAGTTAGGATGTGCATCCAAGTATGTTCAGTCCCCTTACTCTTAACTGCATGCCATCCTGCTAGCCTTGTGTCCACCCCACTGTGAGATAACCACTGATGACTCCTCTCTAAACCCTTTTCTAGGTGTATGTATTTCCACTAAACTGGGGCTATGTTGTATGTGTTGTTTCATAACTAGTTTTTTTCCCATGTGTAAACCTCTTCCTTCAGCTCCTTGTTAATGGCTGCAGAGTATTCTGTCAAGTGAAGATACCGTATTTAATAACTACTTATTCTTGTATATTTTTCCAGTTTTTGCTATTATCAAATCTTCTTGCATACTACTAATTTTATCCTTAGGATCATAAGTAGAATTGCTTACTGAGAGGTTATGCCTAGTTTCCACATTGTTAATACAAGTTCCCCAATTTGCTTTTACCAATCTCCCACCAGGAGAATGTGGGGAAACCTGACGAACAGGGAAACCTGACTAACAAGTTTCCCAACATTCTACACTGACATCAAATATAACTTTAAAAAATCATTTCTAGTTAGATAAGCAAAAACATGTATGTTTTGTTTAGCATACCTTTGACTGTTAATGAGGTTGAATGTATTTTCACCTATTTATGTATCATTTAAGGTTTCCCTTTCAGATACTGCTTGTTCAGATTCTCAGAGTTCATTTTTAAATTAGTCTCTTGAAGAATTCCAACCCATTTCACAGTGAAGCTAATGTTAAGACTGAAATTTTATTTTTCATGCAGAGTTCACTCTTTGAGTGGTGCAGTAAAGGCAGTCACACTTGGAGTACCTCAGTGATGGCAGGAAGGTTTATGTCTTCCTCTTTGTGACAAGATAAATCTCTGTGAGATTGCTGTAAAGGTACGGAGGATTTTAGAATTCATTTGCACAGAGGTTCCGGGAGCTTCCAGTTTGACAGGAGTGGCCTTGGAAGATTCGCCTGGGCAAACCGCAAGGGCAGATAGTTTAGTGATTGGCTTTGAAGCAGCACCAGATGCTATGGGCACCGGGAGGCTCTGGGCACGCCCTTCAGGGGAGCAGCCGAGTAGCAGAGGAGAGCGCCATGGGAGAACATGGGCCACCCTGGGTGAGGACAGGAAACAGGCAGAGGAAGTGAAGGAATTCTTTGAGGAGCAGAGGAGAGAGAGCTGGTAGTTCATCTCACTTTATCTGATTAATAATCCTCACCCCTTCTGCCTGCGCAGCTTGACTGTAAGCAAAATTAGAAATGGGCAGCTCATGACTCCTTGAGTCCTGCTTCCATGTGGGTGGTTGGGGGTGGGGTGCAGTACCTCTCCTCCAGCATTAGATCTCAGAGGACTTGGGGGAGAGCATCTTTTGGCTGGCTTATTTAGGAAAAATATTTGGCCAGAATTCACTTACAGTTTCAACTACTTTCATTTTCCTATAATACAAGTTATAGGAGAGAAAAGGTGAAAAGAAGCCTATTTAAATTGTTAATATTGGTATCTATGAGTGATTGTTTTTACTCTTTTCTATTTCTCTTTATATTCTATAATGGGTACATTTACATATGTAATAGAACTACTAATAAACTGTATATAAAATTTCTCCCCCGGGTGAGAACTCATCTTCTGCTAAGTTAGGTTCAAGAAACAAGAAATCCTGTTGTTTGTAAATATCCCTTTAAACAGAAGTTAATGCTTGTGAGTATAGGTTCTTCTGTATTGTTATATTGGCAATTTAAGCCTTAATAGAAAAGGGTGGTAGTTTGATAGTGGTGGTAACTTAAAGCCAGGATGGAGTGTTCCAGTTTCCCCAAGAGTCTGTGTGAACAATGTGACTGGCAGCATGTGGGCTTGTTAGGGACTCTGATACCAAGGCAGTCCATGCTGAGATCTGTTATATTTGCTCCAGTCTAGTGTGGTCCTTAGCTTAGAATATGTAGCTTAATCTCGGTGAGTGTGGATCCTAAAAATTCCATCAAAAAGGCTCTATTAGGAGAAGTTACACATAGGGAAACTTGCATAATGTAATGTCATTATTTCCCTTCATGAATGGTCCCACTGAGTGAACAGGAAGGGTCGGGCCCTCCGTGAAACTTAAAGCCAGTCCCTCCAGTGAGGCTGGTATCAGCAGAGAGGGCCAGAAATGTAAGAAGTGCTTGAAGTGGGCATGAAAAAGTTCTTGAAAACTAAAAAATGGTACCATTGTATCTTTTGTTGACTTGAAATTCTTGGCATGTTAATTAGTCTATAAAAAGGGCCTTGACAATGTCATAAGGCAAGTTCTAAAAGCCTTAGGCTTTTAAACTTGAAGTAGCACAGTGAAGGACGGACCTCATGCAGAATGTTCACAATGAATCGCAAAAAGTGACAAAAGTTGATTAATTACTTATATGAAAACGAATTTGCAGTGATGATATTAACATTCTGAAGCCAGCCATTTCCTTCCATTTGCTTCTTGTGGTTGGGACATATCTTCCTTCTTTGTTCATTTCCTAAAGGAACCATCTTTCATTTTCCCTCTTTTTTTGATAACCTGTTTCTTCCAAGGACTATAAATATCTGAGATTCACTGATCTAATGAAGACTTCCTCATTGACGGAAATTCTTACAGAATTCAGTGGCAAAAATGAGCTCTATCTTTGAATCAAAATCTGAAATTATTTTTTAAAAGAAAGATAAAAATAGAAAATAGCAAGTTCTTTGCCTTGGGTAGGATGTTTGTGACAATTCAGAAACTGCCCTTGCAAAAATTATAACAGTAAGAAAATTATGACAGTGGAGGAGATCTGATCTAGATGACCCCCTCTTGCCTTTATCCTTCGAGCTGCCTTAATTGTTAATGGGCATAGGCTGGGCTGGCTGTGGGAGATATTTTATATGATTATAGCCATTCCCCCAAACACAACCATCTTTGTAAAGCTTAATGAGAGACCACCAGGTTAGGAAGATAGAGAAGCCTGGATTCTGGTAACATATGAGCATTGCCAGCCATTTTTCTGGAGATCACAAGATATGCAACTTTCTCAATTACTTCTGCAGATAACATCATTATTGTAGAATCTAAGATTGCCCTTTGGAGACAACTTTTCGGGTTTTTTGCTTGTCCGACACCAATGATGGCTCTACCTGGACCTGCCAACCACTCCTGTGTCTCCACCCAGAAGCACTTCAGCCAGCAGGAGGATAATTTCCTATATCCCTATGACTGCTCCCCCAACTAATCAGCGCTAAGTACCCGTTGCCTAGCCACCTCCACCTCTTCCCCCAAACTACCTTTGGAAAACCCCTAACTTAAGAAGAGATTGATTTCAGTAATAACTGTCTCCCACATGGCATGGCCAGCCTTGTGTCAATTAAACTTTTTCTTTACTGCAATGCTGTGGTCTTTGTGTATTGAGCAGGAAGAACCTGTTGAGATCTTTCAATTCTATTAAGTAGATACATTAAAAGACATCACCTCATGTCAATCCCTCATTCCCTCCACCTAATTTTAATCAACTAGTTGAATTTAAGAAAATAATCTTAACACTAAGTTGGCTACCAGCAAGTTTTCTATTTTTAAAAATTATCTTTTATACATCTAAAAATTACATAGGTGCTTAAACTTGAAACAATTTAAGGTGTATAAAGTGCCTATCAGAATGTCTTATCTATAATAAATGTGAAATTAAAAGTAAAAAGTTTTGCATATTGATGGAGACATTTCTGTCTTGTCCTTGGT